ATATTAATTTAAATTTCATTTGTTTAGATTATATTTCAGAATACAAATGCTGAAATGATTAAAACTTAGTCCACTATAGTAGATATGCAGAATTTTATTTAGATAGGCATGTTAATTTCATTTATTAAGCAATCAAAAGTATTATATAAAAAAGAATATACCCAAGGATATAGTGAAGATTAAATATAAAACACCAAAAATTATCTGATATTCCACATAAATGTCTCAAAATATTTCAGAATACAAATGCTGAAATGATTAAAACTTAGTCCACTATAGTAGATATGCAGAATTTTATTTAGATAGGCATGTTAATTTCATTTATTAAGCAATCAAAAGTATTATATAAAAAAGAATATACCCAAGGATATAGTGAAGATTAAATATAAAACACCAAAAATTATCTGATATTCCACATAAATGTCTCAAAGCATATTATAGAACAGTAATGCTTAGTTACAACATATTATGTTCTAAATCAGTGGGTTTTTTGATTGAAATCCTATTTTCCAATAATAAACAATAGTTAAATTTTGCCAAGATATGAGGGAAAATGTTATAGGCTTTTGTTTTGACAAATGAGAGTCCTCAGAATAATGCATATCAGGAAACAGACATCTCCAAAAGATATATGGATTCTTGTAATGATCAGTATTTGATCGCATTTTTATTGTAGTGCTAATAAGAATACCAAATGAAAATATAAATACAGCTAGCTGTCACCATTATTCTGTAGGATTCATCTCATAAAACTTTCCTCTGCTCAATAAACTTTTTTTAGAAAATTGTTACCAAAATAATGAAAATACATACACATGCACACATTTGTGTGTATCACACAACTATAACTGAAATTATTCTGAAAAATTAAAAAGTTTAGATAAATTAGGTAGCATTGTCTCCAAATTATTGGAAAAGGTGATCTGTGCATGTACTAATTTATAAATTAACGTTGTTTGAAGATCTCAGCAAATTCTCTGAATTTCTATTAACATCATATGAGTTCCCTTTCCATGTATAACTATAACAATAATCTAAGTTTTAGTAATTTATACCCTCTTGTATGCAAAAAGTTATATATTAATATTCTAAGACATTATTGTGCTGTTACACAGCCACTGAAAAATGCCATTCTAAATGTTTCACCTAAATGGAAATGTAAACTTGGCTAACTAGTTTATAGTAATTTTTTTTAGTGCTTAGTCAATGCAGAATGGCCTAAGTATTTGAATCCTTATTCTATTATAGCAGAATTAGAAGTGGACCCTAAACTGTTTTTCCTCTTTATGTGCTACGCTGGTGTTTCCTTTGTAAACCATTCAATTTCAAAGACTCAGTGAACAGATTTTGATATCGTTTTATGTTTTATTGACACAACTGCAGTTGAGGATGTAGTTTTTATTTGTAAGGTCAATCATTTTAACTGCTTCCCAATGTTATGCTTATCACTTTCCCATTTCTTGGATGTGTGATTTTTTTCTCCACCTATTTTTTTTGGGGGGAGCTCTTTAACTGTATATTATACTAATTCACCCAATAGTTTTATTTTTATTAGAGGGTGATAATTTACCAAGATGTTCTTGAACAGTAGGTGAATCACTATGACATACCCCCTGTTCTTTTTTCTCATGAAATATTTTTTTCCATTGAATCATAGAAACAGATGTTCTTACACCACCATGCAAAATCTCCTTTTATCATCTCATTTTGAAAGTAAACAGTCTCTGGTGCCCATGGAGAAAGACACTGTACCTGATTCATTTACCAGAAAGTTTATAATAAAAATTTTGTGCCTTTTCATTTTAACCTTTTTAAATATATGTTTAATAAAATGTATTGTCCAATATTCTAACTTTTCAGCTCCTGATTCTCCCCCCCAACACTTCTTTGTAAAACAGTTGTCTGGTGTCACAGTGAAGTTGTCATGGCAACCACCCCTGGAGCCAAATGGAATTATCCTCTATTACACAGTTTATGTCTGGTAAGAATTTTTTCTTTTTTGGAAATAGTTCTGAGAACAAGTATTAATCTGTAACATAATAGGAATGTAGTTGTTTTTTTTTTTTTTTTTAGAATGTGATACTACATTAAGAACCTGATTACTAGTAGGCTAGTTAATATGCTTTTATTAAGAAATAAATTTTTCCCATATTATATAGAGGTCTAAGCATAGCCAAATGTTGTAATTTTTGTAATTAAAACAAAAACAATTATGTAGTATGCATAATTATACTAAATTTTTGCTTTTAAAAGTTATGAACTGATCATCTTATGTGAATGCAGTATATAATTTTAAACTTTTCTAGAGTTTACACAAATATTCTCTAAGTTATTATGATTTTAAGTTTTCTTAAGCAGAATAATTTTAACTAAATTTTAATTAAAATTTAACTAAAAGATATTTCTTCTGAAATCTGTTAAGGTCAGTTTTCCACTGAAATGTAAGTAGTGGATTTATTTTTTTCTAATCATCTTACCTGATTACCTATTTATGCTTTGGTTCTTACCTGATTATCTATTTATGAATTAGTTATGAAAAAGATGAAATCTTATAAGGCATCTCATGTCAATTAATGACATGGCTATACTGCTTCATGAACAATAGATAAAAATCTGTAGTTTGATCTATTGTAAATGCTCTTAAAAGGATTCATCAGTTGTATAACTTATTTCCTAGTACATTTTAAAACTCTCAACTCAGAAAATATAATTTAACAATATTTTATAGAACAAAAAATTTTCTTACTTATAGATTCCTGACTTAGAAGATCCAGCATTGAGAGACTATAATATTTTAAAGAAATCTACTCTTCTCTCTCCTAAACTAAGATTTTTCTTTTCCCAATCTCTCTTTAAACTTTTTGCATACTGCTCTGTCGGACTGTAACTCCTGTGTTCTTCATTGCCTGATTCCTAGTCATTTTGCCTAGTCCTGGCAAAATTAGGAGTGACATGAGAGATGTTAGTGGGAAGAGAAGCAGTGAGAAGAAGGTAACCATTTCCCTCTGTTATCCTTTTCATTCATTTATCTATTCATTTTCATTCCTTCATTCACAATTTTGATAGAGTGCTTATATATCTGTGAAGAAAGCACACCTAAGACCCTGCCCTCAAGGAGCTTGCATTCTAAAGGATAACTGGATTATATACTCATAAACAAACAAATGAGGGAAACAAAAAAAAAAAAAGAGGGGGGCCTGCTTTTGATGAGATGTCTGGGCAATAACTCTTTGAAAAAGTGGTATTGAGTTGTGATCTGAGGAGGACAAGTTACTTCTTGTCATCTGAAGATCTGTAGATTGGAGTTTTCCAAGGAGAAGAAACATCAAATGCATGGACTCTGTGGGAAAATACAACTTGCCATTTTGAAGACCAGAAAGAAGATCAGTGTTGCTGGAGGTAACAGAGATAGAGGAGATTAATGCTGGGTGATAGGAGGCAGTTGAAGGTCAGGAGCCAAGCCATAGTAAGGATTTTGTTTTAACTTTAACAATAATGGGAATTGTTGGAGAATTTCAAGTACTTTAGATACTTTATGGAGAATGAATTGTAAAGGGCAAAAGTTTTAGCACGGATAACAGTATGGATACTATTTTAGTTTAGTAGGCTGGGCAATAGATGTTCTTGACAATGGGAAGGATGAATGGGTAGCTTTGAGCTACGTTTGTGAAGAAGAGTTGACAAGACTTGGTGATGGATTGGCTACAAGGATGAAAAAAGAGATGAATTAACTTCTAAACTTTTTAATCAAGAGTGGTGACTCCAAGATTTGGACACAATTTTACAGAGTTAGAAAAAACTAAAAGTGCCCCTCGGTGATCTGTGTAGTTCCCTTAAATTACTGTATAAATGGTGGCTGTCATTATTAGCAGGATTTCTGTTTCAGGGTGTCCATATTCCTCTCATAATTCTGCTTGCATTATTTCAGTTGTTCCAATAATTACCAAATTCTTTTAAAAACAATATCTTTGGATAGTTACTCTTTTCAATATGTCTGCAAAATTCAGACTGCGTTACATTTGTTGCACTGTATGACTTCTGTCCTTATCATGAATATTTCTTTGCAAAATGGATGAGGAAGGTTAATGTATAATCATTTTATATCCACTACTGTATGAGTATGGTTTGTGGATGATATGCTCAGAAATCTGCATTTAAAATTATTTTTTCCTTCTAAAGTTTGCTTTGTGAAATAAATTTTATGATCTAACAGGATGATAAGTAGCATTTTCCCTCAAATATTGATAAATTATACTTTTATGCTTTCAAATAACATTCCTAGAGTAACTACCATTAAATAAATGAATTTCTGTTACAGCACTGTAAGCTTATTTTTCTAATGCATTTTGGATTGAGGTGTATTCTAGTAGACTGCTATAAAATATTTATTTACCTTATAGTTGAATTGAACTTGGATTTGTTTAGCAATTTTACTTCTATATTGTTAGTAAAATTTAACAGAAGCTTTCTCCTTTGTTTAAAAACTCCAGACTGAATGCCCTATAAGGTTTAGCTAAAGACTGGGATGAAAGTAATGCTGACAATTCTAGCTTATGTACAGATCTTGGCTTTTAAATGTTTCTCAGTTTTCTTAGCAGTAATTATGAGAAGCAATTTTAAATAAGTCAGTCCGACAAATGTGTATTAAACTCTGTGGGGAGATAGAATTTTAAAATAATTGTAGACTAATTGGAGATAAAATATGCCCATGTGAAATAATTTAAAATACTTACTGAGCAATATATTAAGAAGTCAGAACAATTCTAATGCAGTTTTTTATTAAATGTCACTAGTCAAATCCCCCAGTAAAATAAAAACTTACCTTTGAAAATGGCTTTCCATATGCTAGAAAGTATTCTTCATCCTTTTTCTTTCTCCAGTTTTCCAAAAGATTTTCATTGTATTAAAACTGTTTAATGGTTTGAACATAGGATATAGATTAATAATCAGAATGGGAAGAGGGTCATTTCAAATTTCCTGAATTTACCTCCCATTTTGGAATGAAGGTTGTAAAGATAGATGTATAAGTCAGGACAACAACTCAGTGGAAACAGTATATGAAGCTTGGAGGAAGCATGAATGAGCTGTGTCAAGAAGTGATAAATAGCATTGTAGAAATGGAATATTGGAGCCAGATTGGGATGATGAGTGACACAAACAAAGATGGAGGGAGTGGTTGCAGCACTATCTAAAGAACAATGCCCTCCTAACTTCCACATATATTGTCCACCATTTAAAAGACTAAAATAAAATGTAGAAATGAAAATCAGTGAATAAATTATTTTTTTAAATGGACTACAGATAACCGATAAACATAAAAAGACATTCAATCTCACTCATGGTCAGAGATTTGCAAATTAAATAGATTTTTTTTGTTATTAAACTTGCAGAAATTAAGATTAATATCCAGACTAGTAGTGAGAGTTGCAAAAATGTGTACTCTCACACATTATTATTGTGACTCTAAATTATAATAAGTTATAATTTGAAACAAAAGTTATTTTGGAACAGCAAACAAAAAATTAACATAAAAAATTCAAACCATTTGACTTAATAATCACTCCTGGAAATTTAACCTGCAGAAATAAAACTACCATAATGAAAAAAATATTTGTGTAAGAATGATTACTGCATCATTGTTGGTAATAACTAAAGAAAAAAAAGAGAGACAACCTAAATGTTAATTTATAGAAGAATGGCTAAATATCTATGATACATTCAAATTAGTCAACTACAAAAATAAAAAGAAAAGAAATGCTAATCCACACCTCAAGAAAATAATCATATAGATCATTGTTATTCACATCAAAATACAGAACATATACTTTTATAAATGAAAATAAAACACTATAATAGAACACAAAATAATCCTATTATAATATTTTTAAACTAATAAGAACAAAACAGATTTCAAAACTAAAACCAAAAGTAGCAGCTGATTATGACAGTGTCAAAACTGGGTTTCTCATGCATGGGAGGGAGTGACTGCTCTGAACTGCAGGATCACTCACTGAGATCGCTCTTCAGAGACCAGAGAGCTCAGGCCTCAGCCCAAAGGTTAATGTACGTTTCCTCTGATATGGCAACAGTGTGAGAACAAGAAAGATGGAGTCAGGAACTCAGGAATAGCATCACTTCTGTCTCCTTTCCATTTCTCTCGGTTCTCAGTTTTATGGCAAACCAGCTCTTACATAACTAAGATACATTCTGAACTTGAATGTATCAGAAGTTGAAATTTCAATTGAAGTTTATTTATGCTAGATATTATTTATTTAGATATTTTTCTACCTTAGTCATTAAAATATCACCTCCAATCCTAAACTCCCAAAGGAAAACAAACCCCAAACAGACAACACACATTAGTATCTGAAAAATTTTGTTAGCACTATAGTCTCTGAAGATAAATCGGGATAGATGTAGAAACAATATTTATAAATGCTAATAACTGAGGTGAATTACTGAGTCTATTTAGGTAATTTATAAAGATTATCTTATTTTTACTGAAATATACAGATATTTGAGACAAAATTTATTTTTGACCTGCATTTTCCAGGTAATTGCCTTGATTCTTCACTATCTATAGAATGTAATCAGGGTTTTTCTTATTGTAGGCAGGTACTTATCTGAAATATTTTGCTACGAAGATCAGGGCAAGAAGGCAATGTGAGGCAGCAGACAGCATTTAAAAATATGCTTGAAAAGGAATTTTCAAAATAGATATAATGCAATTAGATTATTTTAGTTAATTTCATAGCTTTAGGGATATGAATTGGATTAACTATATTGCGGTGTTCTGATGACAAGAATATAGAACTGGGTAAAATTTCTATGACAAGGCATCTTTCTCTGAGACAGACATCACATTAAGATTTTGTAGAGACCCTCTCCTGGTGTCTCAGTGAAGTTGAAGAAAGTTCTTTCTCCCTGTTGCTTCTGAGAAAGGGTGTCTGATCAAACTGTTTCAAATTGCTGAATAGCTTGGCTAATCTTTCCTATCTCCAATAGCATACTCTGAATCCATATTTTTCTTACTATGGTAAGCTTTCCAACTATTTTTCAGATAACCATACTTATATTTGCAGTGAATCGATGCTTTTGTAGTGGTAAAACCATGGCTGACATGTATCTCTTTGTAGATAGCCCTGATTTATATAAAATCTATTATTCTTTTTAATGATTCAAGAATTCAAATATTTCAATAGTCTAGGGGGAACATTTATCTTCGGAGGTAATATCCATTTACTTCTTGGATACCTTGTGTTTCTAAAGAAGAAAAAAATGAGGTTATTTGAGATATACACTTTTACAGTAATATAGATCATATTTTTTTACCTAAATTCTTTAATAATTAATTTTGTTATTCTTAAAATCTAAATTTCTTTTTAAAATGCAGTTTTCAGCACCTTTGTATCCATGTTCATTCTTTAATTTAGGTTTTAATCTATACCTAATTCAAAACTATGGAGCCTGAACTAACATGACTGAAATAAAATAATTGTAGTGCTCTTTTACTTAGCAATATTTTGTTCTTTAGACTTTTTCGCCCTCCTGTTGTGGTACTGGGAGAATTTTGAGTCAATATTTTCTGTTCTGGATTTTAAATATTTTAAGATTTTAATTGAGTAGGAACTGTGAGCTCTATTTTTATCTTTTCTATATGTTATACATACATTATTTTCAGTCTTATTTTTAATTAAATAAATAAAGGGTAACTCACTAGCTTGCTATTTTACATAATCTAGTCAGATATTTACTACTTATGTATATGAATTGATCTTAGGTAAATGTTACTTTTGTATAATATATGAAAATGAGTTTGATAAATATATGGTATAAATAAGATTTTTCCAACATTTAAAAAGAACAAATATTAGACCAACTAAAACGTTGGTATGAAAACGAATTTAGATTCCTAGAGATCCATTAAAATCAGTTCTAGAAAACTCTAATATGAATGTCTTATTAATACTTGGTTGAATTACAGAATATGCTTGAAAACAAAGAAGTTTATTTATTCTGAAATTCACTCTTCAGCATTTCAGGATAAGTGGCATCTTTATCCTATTAGTCTGGATTGATAAGTTTTTGTGCATAAATTTTATTTTTAATGTACTTGCACCCAAAATATATGTGTAACATTTCATTTAAAAGTCAGTTATACAGAAATATCTCTTTTCTCTTTTACAGGGATAGATCATCATTAAAAATTATTAATGTAACTGAAACATCATTAGAGTTTTCAGATTTGGACTATAATGTTGACTATAGTGCATATGTAACAGCTAGCACCAGATTTGGTGATGGGAAAACAAGAAGCAATATCGTTAACTTTCGAACACCTGAGGGAGGTGAGTTCTTTTCAATGTAGGTCAAGTAAAAGAATATCCTACTCAGACAAAAGAGTGTTAAATATAAAAATGTATCATTAAGCATAATATCTATTGGTTGGGTGCAAAATTGCTTTTTCGTCATTTTCCAGCTGTGTGACATTGGGGAAGTTAGTTAATCTCTCTGTGCCTCAATTTCCCATCTGTATTGCAGAAACAATATAGTATCTACTTCACAGGGCTATTTTTGTAAATGCACTTAACGCAAAACTGGACACTTAGCAAGCACTGTGTGTGTTTGTTACATGAAACAAAATAAAATATATGAAGTCAGCTCTCTGCCTTTGTCTTCTATTATTCAATTTTAAAATTCTAAGTTAAGTCAGAATTTCATATTATGTATTCAATGTTGGAAACTTGTTACAAGGTTGTTTTCAAATCCAGGGCTACAAGCATGTTTTAGAACTAGGACAGTGTTTTATGAGTAAGAAATCTATCTGTCCTCTGCTAGGATGTTGCTATAGGTAGAGTGTTAGAGGGATGACCCAATGAACCTCATGGATTTCATTTCTGACTTGTAATTAGATGTCATTCCAATTTATTATTTTTTTGAAAAACAATTATCATCACTTATCAAAGGCAAGTAAAATTTAGAACATTCAGACATTATTTGAAGCCACAAGTACAATTTTTTGTTCAATTGCCTTTTTTTTTTAAATAGCACCAAGCGATCCTCCCAAAGATGTTCATTATGCAAATCTCAGTTCTTCATCAATAATTCTTTTTTGGACACCTCCTTCAAAACCTAATGGGATTATACAATATTATTCTGTTTATTACAGAAATACTTCAGGTACTTTCACACAGGTAAGACCTGAGTGTTCTCCTAGTTCTTTATTTATATCGCTCAATTTTATTGATGATGATATATACTTGGCATGGTAGAAAAAATCATTTATCTTATGATGATAATTATGCATAGACATTTTATAAAACTCTCATTGACATAGAAAAATGTGGTGGCAAAATGTCAGATACATTTTAATCTACCTACCTCTCTATCTATACATGCACACACACACACACACACACACACACACACTCACACACACATACACACATAGATTCAAATATATTCTTCCAATTATGAAGCTGCCACCTATTTAAAATTCTGTACCTAAATATATCCTTCAATTCCACTCCTCAAAGCAGTGTTCTCTAAAGAATAAATGATTTAATTTACCCTCAATTATTTCTCGACTAAAAAAATTTCTTTTGTTTGTATACAGTATAGTTTTCATGTTTGAATGTGTTTATGTGTTTTTCTTCATTAAAAAATGTTTTTAATTATTAGCAAGAAGGGTTATTATCACTATTATTACTATTATTAATAGTATCAGATATGAAATTACTAGAAATGTGATTATTTAACTTGAGATATACAAGGTTCTAGTGTCACACAGTTTGCAGTTGGATACTTTCTGGTATATGAATGAAAATAGTTATGAAAATAGCTAAAATGCATTTCATTTAGAGGTATATTTTAATTTTTCAGCAAAATTTCTTTATTACTCTAAACTAAATATTTCACAGAACTCTAATATATGAAAAGAATAAACTTGGAATTGTTGTGATTGAATCAAGAATGGGGGAAGTTGGAATATAATTTGAGAAGAAATACTGCAATTTACAGAATATGTACCTTAGAAACTATTGACTCCATATTGATTATGACTGGCTATTCTTATTTCTTTGTATCCTTTTAAGGAGGAGAATAGAGACAGATAAACCTTAGTCATTCCAAGTTGCCTAATTCTATTTGTGACTGACGACTCAAGTTTAGACATTAGAGTTAGTTCTTGTGAGCAGCAATCTCTGAGAATAAAGTTAGTTGCTATAGTGCATCTGTAGGGCAGTTTACACTAATGGATAAGATCAGAGCAGAATTTTGCAAGCTGTCTCAGGACTAACCCAGCAGTGAGTTCAAGAAAGTCTAGAAGTTGGTCCTGTCTTTACTTTGTGTTCAAGGCCCTCTAAGAATGGAGTCGTATAAGAAAGGAAGATCTTTTTGTTTCCTACTCTGTAAATCAGCAATTTTTGTTGTATGTTTTTGTTTTGCTCTATTTGTGGGAGAGAATGGGGATTAGTGTGCAATTTATTATTGTTATTTAACCACAATGTTGTTTATAAATGTAACAATGTCATTACATCATAGAGATTATTTGAATTGCGGATTTTTCTTTTTTCATGCATTTAACGAAAATATTGCAAAGTAGTGTCAGTAGTTCTGAATCTTAGCAAAACTTTTGCCCCGTACAATTTACTTTATGGCTTATATATAATTCCATTTTGGTTCTCTTTGTCCACATCTAAATAATTATGTGTAAACATCTAACAATAGTTTAACATGATCTTAATAAACCTACTTATTCAAACTTGGGTATATAATATGATTCATTTGCAATTCATCTAAGTTAGAAAATATAATCTTTTATTAAATAATCTAAAGAATGCTTTTAAGTGTGACAGCTGCAAGAAGGCACAGGCTAATAATGTTTAAACATTTTTCGTATGCTTGGAGTTCATCTCTGCTTTAATTTATTCCTAAGGTTAATGTTAAATGTAGCATCAAAATCTTCACTACCTAATTTTCTGCTTTAGATTGATTAAATAGAAGACATCCTCAAAATGAAAATTCTATAGCAGAATAAATGTATAGCTTTATTATTTCTCCTTCTTTGCCTTCTCTTTCTCACTGAACTGTGTAGAATATCTCACGCATGGCACATCATATTCTGTTTCCTTTTCCTGGTATCTGCTATTGTCTTAGCTCCTTTAAGTCATAGCAAACAATTTGAAGAAAGGGGTCATGTGACATTTATCTTTCCATCTCCTGAAATCCTCTTGTACTTCATCATACATAGATTTAATGCTTGATAAATATCTTAATTGCAAGAACATAAATTGTTATCATAGACCAACAACATTTTCGGTACTTAGTTACAATTTTGGAGCACTTGAGTTTGTAGTGAAGTGATCTTTCCTTCTTATTTTGGGGAATTTAATCTCTCTACTACTACTTGGCAGTTTATCTTGTTCTTCCTTCAGTTGTTCACTTTGTATTTTGTATAGTGTATTAAGTCTTCTACATTTTAATTTTTATCCACTTATGTCATGTCTCAGTGTGCCTGACATAGTCTTATTGTTGTAGCCGCCAGCCCCCGAAAAACACACGGACCACCAGAAATCAGTGAGTTATAGGAAACACGCTCCTTATTCAGCCAGCTGGGTCTGCCAGGGGTACACAGACCCCAAATTAAGCAGCCCCGAAATGTAGAGGTACAGGGTTTTTAAGCCCTAAATCCCATTCCTCATTCTGTCTTAAACACAAAGGTCTATTTTTCTCTTATTCACTACCTGTCAACCCACAGGTCGGTTGTGCAAGCGGGGGTACAGAAGCAGAAAGCTTATTGTTAGAATGTTATGTTCCCATGGGTGATAGCCTATGTTCCCATGGGCGATAGCCAAGCAGTAATTTTCCAGCCAGCATATTATTATATGAAAAAGTGCTAAATAAATACTGGTTGATTAATCAAATTTGAAAAGTTTTTATTAAATACCTTGAGACTGCATTTATATACGCAAAAGAGTAAGCCTTAATTAGATAATTTGAGCCACAGGATATTTTTTCCAAAAATAAACAGATGAATGAAATAATCTAGATAATTAACCTAATTATAAATTTGTTACATGTCCGTGCATGTCTATGCATGTCTACGCACATTCAGTATGAATGACTTCTGGGTGATTCAAAATGATTTGTTGCTGAGTTGTCATCAAGGTCATAGGTAATCAAAATAAATTCTATGCCAAAGAAAAATTCAAAGTTGTACCAAAAAGCTACGCTAATATTTTAAGCAATACTTTATATAAGCCAGTTATTTCATGTGTAAAGTAGATGTGTTAGAAGATATTAAAATTCACAGATCATATTTTGTGTGAGATCGTTATGTTTTAACTTGTCTGTTCCTAAATAAGTCACCACGAATTGAAGTAGATCTTTTCTTACTCTCACTCTTCCCCTCCACAATCTCAAATATTGGCAAAAGAACCACAAAAACTTGCTGAATTTAATTTGTTTACACATTGCAGAGCCATCTTAACTATAAATTTTAGCCAGATTGCTTATCCTGTTATTAATTTAAATAAACCAATTGCTATTTGCTTTTTTAAATTCTGTGCTGGACATGGTATTAACTGCTTTATGTGCTTTATATCATCTAATCCTCAAAAGCTCTCCGAGAAGTAGAAATGATTATTCCCATTTTATAGTTGAGGAAGGAGAAGCTTTGAGATGACATGGTTTATCCAGGTCTACTGTGCCAGAAGTGAATGCAGGTTTATAGGATGATAAAGGGCTTTGTGTGGATTGGAACAATTTAGATTTCTCAGTGTAGATAGACGTTATTACAAAATTATCGACACTAATTGTCTACATGATATTTTTTAAAAGTCTTTTTCTTTATTTTAAAATTGATTTTATGTGTTTTGTGTTTAAAATTTGATCAGATAGAATATGCATAAATTCCCTAATAATTCAAAAAATGTCTTGGGACAAATGTAACTAGGAATCAGGCCAGAGAATTATAAAATTTCTCTTACTCTGCATTTAGCTGTCTTCTCTTTCCTCCCTATGAACATAGAAGAAAAAGGAACCATTAAAGATGAATAATAATATCCACTTGAGTTAATAGAAAATGGTGAAGAGTTTTATAATTCCATCATTAATAGGAAGAAAAAAATTAAATTTTTATGATATTCCCAAACTTCTTTAAAATATATAGTCAATGTTTTGAAAAATACTTGAATTTTCATAAGAAAACTGATACTGATCAGCACAGTTGTAGCATTTTCAGTTGGCCACTGGACCGTCTCCATTACTAAGCTTAGAGATTTTATTCTTTGCTACTCTGTACGTGATTTTGTAATTAAAACTGATGCCATCTATTCCTCTTTTAGTACAAACATATTTCCAGTTTAATTATTGCAATAAAAATGCTCTATGTTGATTTTCCTCCAAAATTAACATATTAAAATAATGAGACACCAATTCATGGATAATAATTATTTTTAAATGTTCACGTATACTAAAATTATATTCTGAACAATTAAAACAATATGTTTATTTTTCAGAATTTTACACTCCTTGAAGTAACCAATGACTTTGACAATATGACCGTATCTGCAATAATAGATAAATTGGCAATATTCAGCTACTATACATTTTGGGTAACAGCAAGTACTTCAGTTGGAAATGGGAATAAAAGCAGTGACGTAGTTCAAGTATACACAGATCAAGACAGTATGTAAATGAAAAACATTTATTAATCTTTAAGAAGATTAATTTTAAAATTTATAATTATTTTATGACCTCTTTCTATCTATATGTATTGGGAGTAAAATCTATATTTTATTTAGGCACATTTAACTAGTCATTATAGAAGTTTGAAAATGCATTTTAATGTAGCTATAAAGCTATTATAATAGCCTTTTCTATTCATAAAAACCTCTACAATCCATTCATAAAAATTCTGTCATGTTTATTGCTTCCTAATATGTCACAGCCATCTGGTTATGGGCATGAAAAATACTGTTGCACACATGGATGAATTTTCTAATAGTTAATAAGCTCATCCATTTAAATCCACACAGGACTCTATGCAGCATCTTTGTTTTTATTGTATTTGTGACCAATATACCCAGAATATCTTTTTTTTTTTTTTAACTCCAGATTCTGCAGAATCTTGTTTGTGCTGAGTATTCAGAAAACTATAATGACTGAAGCTCTTGATTCATAGGTTTCAGCTTTGAGAATACAATGATACATGGATCATTGCCTTTTTCTTCTTATGGTCATTTCTTTTGTTCACTTATTTTTTAAAGGCTAGTCTCTCATCGAGAAGTGGTATTGGCTTATACTTCTGCTAAGAGTGAAATTCCATGTTTATTACCTTAAGATCATAAACTGACAGGCGCTATAAATATGAGTGAATGTTTTCTTTGTTGCAACAATCTTTTAAATAGTTGACAAGTTGACCAACAGAATAAGTTATGATAAAATATATGTTTACAGAGTCTTTATCAAAAGTGTTTTAGTGAATTATGTGGTCCATATCATTTCAGGCGTTCTTGCAGATCTCTCCCAAGATTTTTTATCAATCTATAACTTTTTTTCAGGATATGATAGCTTCATGAATAATAAACATGTTCTGTTCCCTCTTCCAGGTGAGAGGTCCTAGATGACCTCATATGTGCAATAAAGATAATATTTAGAAGACAAAAACTAAAAATACTGTATAGATTACATATATTATTAAATATTTAAATATCTGAGTATACAGATACACACAAATATTTGTACGTACATGCTTATAATCTCCATTTTGTAAGAGAGAAAAGCCGAGAGAATGTTATATAAAACAATTCTCATACATATTAAAGATGACAAGGTTATTTTGAATGACTTTAATATTATTATTTAGGGAATATTTTTATTAGGTAATATTTATTACATCTGCATCTAACTAATGTAAGAGCTGGTGGTGTAATAGATGCCATTTCAACAATTATCTTCATTTTGTGAATTTGCTTAAATTTTTTTGAGGGTGACTGATAATTTTTATATTTTGCATGTTACCTATCATAGTACCTGAAGGGCTTGTTGGAAACCTGACTTATGAGTCCATTTCATCAACTGCAATAAATGTAAGCTGGGGCCTACCATCTCATCCAAATGGTCTAGTCTTCTACTATGTTTCTCTGAGCTTACAGCAGACTCCTCGCCATGTAAGACCACCTCTCATTACATATGAGACAAGCATGTATTTTGATAATCTGGAAAAATACACTGACTATATATTAAAAATCACTCCATCAACAGAAAAGGGATTCTCTGATATCTATACTGCCCAGCTACACATCAAAACTGAGGAAGATGGTAGGCTGGATTCTTTTATTGTCTATTAAGCAGATTGTTGGCATCCTCTTACTTATATTGCTTTCTGACAGAAAACACTATTCTTATAATTATATAGATTCTGTTTGGTCTCAGGTAATTAGCTTTTCAATAAATACAATAAACTCGAAGTTTCTTAAAATTAAAATGATTATCTGCTAATAAAATTAAGTATCATTTTTATTAAAGCCTCTTCTTTTTAATGTTAATTCACTTTTGTTTCATTTAATCTTCTTCTTTTTCTTTTATAGTCCCAGAAACTTCACCAATAATCAACACTTTTAAAAACCTTTCCTCTACCTCAGTTCTCTTATCATGGGATCCCCCAGTAAAACCAAATGGTGCAATAATAAGTTATGATTTAACTTTACAAGGACCAAATGAAAATTATTCTTTTATTACTTCTGATCATTATGTAATATTGGAAGAGCTTTCACCATTTACATTATATAGTTTTTTTGCTGCTGCAAGAACCATAAAAGGACTCGGTCCTTCCAGTATTCTTTTCTTTTACACAGATGAGTCAGGTAAGCCAGAATCCATCTTCCTTCAAATGATATCACTGTTGCAGCACTTGCTGTCATCTCTTTTTAAGGAACCTCATAGAAAATGAAAGCATATTTGATTGTCTATTTGTAACAGGCTTACAGCTATTCATCTAGTTTGCATAAGGCTTTTCTATTTTTTAATTCAAACTTCAGAACAGAGTGTTCTGTTGAAAGCTGCTTTGGAACTACTGAGTTCCAAGTACGAAAACAATACTTCTATTATTTATTTCCAAAATTAAATATGATCGTTTTATACATCTTTCTTAACCAGCATCTTCAGGAAGCTAGAGTCACAATGATATTTGTATGTTAAAAAAATTATGATATAAGTTTTATACTGTGTTTTCCTGCAGTGCCTTTAGCACCTCCTCAAAATTTGACTTTAATCAACTGCACTTCAGACTCTGTATGGCTGAAATGGAGCCCGAGTCCTGTTCCAGGCGGTATTGTTAAAGTATATAGTTTTAAAATTCATGAACATGACACTGATACTGTATTTTATAAGGTAGGTTGATTATAACAGTATATGTTTATTTCAAAAAGATTCAGAAATTGAATCAAAATCTTTTGACATGCAGGGGGAAAATGGACTGCTTTAAATTAAAAAAGAACCATCTTTTATAAAACCTTTTTTGTTTCCTATAACTCAAGGATGCTTGTGGAAAACACAGAAGATATTTGCCAGATATGGAAGCTGAAGACATTGTAGTGCAATTTACTTAGAAATTGTAACTTATGGATATCTACAATTTAAAAAATAATTGCACCATTTTGTTAATGCTGGAAAGTAGATAGTAAATTTTTTTCAGACTAAAACCTGTTATTATCTTAAATATAATATATTTCTATTTGTTGTTAAAAGAAGTACCAAGTAAATGGTTTTAATCTTTTCAGAAAAGTCTTTATAATGGACTTCTGGTAATCTTCTCTGATAGCATTAATCCCACATGAATTAGTCTTTAAAGATATATCATTATTCTTTTACTTTCAATGCTAATTAGTTTACAACACTAAACACCTTTTCTCTCCTTCATTTTTAAGTTTCAGAATCAATGAAAAATGCCCAAAGAACTGATATAACAAGGAGTCTCAAATATACTTCTATGATTTTTAGCATTTAATTGCCAAAATATGTTATAGTACATAGCATTGATTTAAGAAAGTGTTCTTATTATTTTTTTCCCAAAGGCAAAGTGAAGCTGAATGCTTTTATTTAGTTATGGCAAGGAGAGTGCAAAAAATCTGCAATAAACATTGTCTCCAATATTATATGTATTACAATTTATTACGGATGGTAAATCATTTTTATAGCATGTGTAGCTTACAAAGTGAATAATAAAAATCAAGACCTGTGATTAAGTTTATGTCCTAAGAACAATAACTTTCTTTCTGGAAATCAAGATATTATTTTAAAATCTGATAGGCTGAGTAGAAATTGAATTATATTACTCCATAAATGTGGAATCTCTTTCCCAGAAGTGTGAAATTATATTACTGACACTAAGTCTCTAGCCCTCTAATATCCATTCCTGGTCTAATCTTAACATTTTCCCTTTTTTTAAAAATTTTCTTTGTCTGAATGGGCCACTGGGAAATTGATGTCAAAAGAGAAAAAGAAATTATTTTCTTAGTGTTATCACGTTCGTAGGGTAATTGTGTGCGTATATTGGAGTGTGGTTGTATGTGTGTGGTCTTTTCTCCTCAGAAGAGTAGTCTCTACAATAAACACCATATAAAGCATTTAGAACAATCCCTGGCATATGATAAAGGTGTTAGTATTGTTGTTAATATACATAGTTTTAAAAAGTACAAAAAATCCATCCAACAATGCAATAGCACTAAGCATAAAATGACATTATACCATTATCTGAATATGAGAATAAATTATATTCTAAGATTTTTAGACATTCTGTTTTCTCAATAAAAATGCTACCATTAATATTCCACTAGTAGCGAAAATATAATCTTTATACCATAAAGTATTGACTATATCATTTTTGGGGGGTGGAGGAAGTAGTTTTTGTTTAAAATCTATTTTTAGTTATTCCCTTTTGCATCTATTTACTCTTCCATTGATTTTCATAAACTTGTTTTCTTTTAAATTTCTTTAAATGTACTCGTACCATCTTTTTTCTTTTATTTACCTTTGAAATATTGTATATTATTTTAAAAATAATAGTGGATGTATTAAAGAGTTATCTACAAGGGTATTCATTGCAACATTTTTTAAATAGCAAAAAAAATCTAATGCATAAACACATGCAACAATAATACACAATCATCAGAAATAATATTGTAGAAGCCTGAAATGATTTATCACTTATCGTTCAATAGTTCATCTGTTTCTTATCTATTAGATGCCATTAAGAATAACTACCATTGCTCATTTACAATTCTATAACTGTTTAGAAAAATTCCTAGCATATAGTAGTAACTAAGTTGAATCTATGTTGTGTTATTTTTAATTTCTTTTTTTTATTTTTTTAGCAATTCAACATAAGGCTTTAATAAAACAATAAAAAGTCAGGTTTGAGTGTGGAATATCAGACATTACTCAGGGTCTGCAATTGAAGATTGGCCTGAACATATTTCATAATTATTAAGAGCAAGGAGTTTGTTTGTTCCAGTATATACAAGGTCTAGGAAGCAATTAGTTTACAACATGAAATCTTTTTTTTCTTTCTTAACATCTAGTTTACTGTAACTAGTTCCTTTCCTCTATTTTGCTTTCTAAGTGTGTTTCCCTGTATTCTTTTCTATGTTTCATCCATATGCCATGACAATATCAGTTTCTATTATTTTTTTCTTAACATCTAGTTTACTGTGACTTGTTCCTTTCCTCTATTTTGCTTTCTATTCTTTTCTATGTTTCACCCTATGCCATGACAATATCAGATTCTATTATTCTTTCTTTTTATTTTTTCAAATTCTGTGTGGGGTTAATATAGGCAAAAAAATTCCAGAACCACTCCAAATGTTTCTGCCATCCCAGTCAATCCAATGTGGTCCACACAGTGATCAATAAGATCCAGGTTTGCTGGAAACTCAGGTCACCTATACATACTGAAAGAAATTATTTATTCAGTAAAAAGTTCTCTTAAAATATGTTTAGAAATATCCCTCACTTATGTCTCCTTCTTACAACTATTTTTGTGTCAATCTGTTTGCCATTCAGTATGCTACTCTCACACTTTTCATTATAAACTCAGTCATTTCCCTGGGTACTAGTCCCTTCTAATCTAAATCAAAATTACCCTCACTGTTTAATTTCTTCTCAATAAGCAGTTGTTTATAAATTTCTCTAATTAATATAAAAATTTCCTGATGACAAGGCCTATGTCTTACATATATTTATAATATCCTGGTTATCTAACAGTATGCTTTATACATAGAAAGTGTGAAAAAAAATGAAAGAAAATAGTGTAATATAGTGAGTTCTTAATATATGTCAATGACTTGTAAGAGAGTAATTTAAAATATGATGTAAGTACCCCAAGAGTTAGGATTCTTGCTAAATTTCTGCTACCGAAATGTTTGATAAATAAGTGAAAGTGTTTTAAAATTTGGGTTGGATATAAGGCAATATTCTTAAAATTATACCATACCAGAGTTTGTCTTCTCTTTCCATAACTGCTCTCTTGGTTAGGACAATTATCCTTGGATAAAGATTTCATACTTACTGGTAAAATTTTCTATGAGAAAGTGTATTCTTCCTTGGGCAATTGTGCTGTTTTGTTTTTTTCCTCATTCTCCCAAGAATTGTGTCAAATTAGAAATTTAGGAGTCATCTGGGAAAACTCATAGTTTAAGCTTCAGATGAGCAGAGATTTTGTTTTATTCACTACTGTATTCCCAGTGCCTAGCATACAGTAGCTGAGGAATAAATTAATTTACATAGAATGTCACCGGGTACTTAAAATAAATTTAGGTGAATTCAAGAAAAAACAAGTATCACAGCTCTAAATTGGATTTAAATTGGGGACTTTACTTTTAGCATAAAAATTTAAAGAAAGTAATTGGTGTATAATTACAAGTAAAAATCTAGGAGGTAAAATGAAAACAAAATTATCTAGCTTTTTTTAAAAATGGTAATTACAAGATTCTTCAGGGCTGAGAGAGTGCTCAGTTTGTCCGTGAATCATCAGTTGAGCACACCCTATGCCAGAAAAAAGTGTTTAATATTTGTTTTATTTTAATTAAAAATACTCATGCTTATTAAATCATAGGTTAAACATAGAAGGCATAACTTCAATGTGTAAAATATTTCTTTCTGTAAGAAACAAATTTTTGATGATGCATTGTGACTAAGAATTTTTTTCTGCTTTTCAGAATATTTCAGGTTTTCAAACTGAAGCTAAACTTACTGGACTGGAACCAGTCAGCACCTATTCTGTCAGCATATCTGCCTTTACCAAAGTTGGAAATGGCAATCAATTTAGTAATATACTGAAATTCACAACCCAAGAATCAGGTTAGACACAGTTATTTAAATCTGAAGTATTTCATTTTATATTTAACCCTTTTCCCTTTCCTTTCTCAGTTTATGTGATAAAGTATCATTATTTAATAGTCCACTCAAAGGCAAATTGAATTTCAATGCTTTAAAGCAAGGCTGAGTCTTGTCTACAATCAAAATACATACATATCTGTGTATGTATATATTTACAGATGTTCTTTCCTTTTTGAGAAAGTTGAAATAAAAGACTAGTTTAAAAAATGAAGGCTTCTAGATATTTGTGAAAATTATCTAATTCTTAGGGCCATCTGAGATAGCTGGGAAAATTAAAAGAAGAAATGAACCAGTAGTCACTTTTAAAAGGCCGAGTGATATTTTCATGAATCGATGTCTATGATTGTTTTCAGAAGATGTGTTGTGACATTTAAAGATCACTAGTCACTATGTAAGCTTCTACTTTCCCACAGTCCATCTGTAAAACTTGGAGTGGACTATGAAGACTATGAAATACCATTGGTCTAATTAAGCAACTTACCTATGTGTCACATACATGCCATAGCTCACCTTTGTTTGTGTGCTAAATAGTATTCATTTATGACCTATAATAGTGTCTTAGATATGTACTTTTCTGCCACTCAGCTAGACCATATGTTTAAAGGCATGTCTTCCTTACCTTTTTTTTTTTTTTTTTTTTGGTCAATGATTATTTCTTCTTTGTACCTCTGGATGCATTTCCTCTTGTTTTAGTAAACCTTTAAATTGAAATTAGAGACAACTCATGGATAAATTAATAATTTTTGCATTAATTTATGGATACCTGAGAATTTTTTATAGCATGCCTATAAGACAGGCTAAGTAAATAGTATTTATAGTGGATAAAAGTGTACACTCTGAAGTCAGTGTCTGGATTTTAATCCAGGCTCTGTGACTTAGTACTTGAATAACCTTGGGAAAACTCTTCGACTTCTCTGAAACTCTACATCCTTAATTAAAAGGAAATATCGTCAGATTATTGTGAAAAATATTTGAAAAGATCCATGTAAGACATTTGTCAGAGTGTCAGACATACAATAAGTGCTCAAAAAATGTTACTGTTGCCCTTATTCCCATCTCATAGATGAAGAAGCCATTATTCAGGCAGATTAGATGAAAAGGGCTAAGAAAATTAGTGAAGAAACTGATCTAGAACTTCAGCCTCTGACCTCCAGTGAAGGGTGGACGTGACTGTAGGAAATACATACTGTGAATGAGTAATACTATATAAAAATATTAAACCTATAAGGGAAAAAAAGCATTTTAATAATTTATACACATATTAGGTTAATAAAATCAAGGCTCATCTTGTAGACAGTGCTTGGTAAACCAATAAACATTTTATCAGTAAAATAAAATATTTCCATAAAATTCTATGCCCTAATTGGTTAAACAAAAGAAAATTTTCAAGTTTAAGGGTTATAATATCAGCTGGTTAATTAATCACTTTTGGGTACATAGAGTAAGTGAAATACATGCTCACAAAATCCTGGTTTATGTACTAAACTTAAACAAGTTGTCAACTGTCTCTTGTTAACTTATTTTATGAAAATATTGTTATATGTTTTTAAAAATAAAGAAGCAAATAATTAATGTCGTTTAATTGCCAGAACCCTGGATTAGCCGAGAAACTATCGTTTTAAAAAATTTTAAATGCTACTGATCTCCTAAGTATTTTTCTTTAGGCCTGATGCCTTTATCTTATAGCAAAAGAAAGTTTTGTAAAGATATAAATTTAGGCCAGGCAAGAGAACTGTAGGCAAGTCAAAAATCATTTGAGTTTTCTTTAAATAACTGTTTTATATGATGACAGCAAGTTGTTTCCTTTCACTACTTGTCTGTAATCCATGAATTGACTCTGTGCCAATTTTCCTTCTAGCATCCTCTTTTTACCATAATAGGAAAAGCTATGCTAACATTGGGGGGCATTAGATAATTAGACATTTCCATGAGAAGTAACCAGTCTCTTCAATCTGCAATCATTTTGGTGGGCTGGAGTATTACTCTTTAAGCAGGTCTACCAGATAGAGTAGACCTCTGAGAAACTGAGTTACTTCCACGTAAATTCAGGGAAGTTCTAGAACAACCTTGAACTGAATTAAAAAGTGGAGCTGGGTCTATGGCCATGCTACCCTGAACAGGCCTGATCCCATCTGATCTCAGAAGCTAAGCAGGGTCAGGCCTGGTTAGTACTTGGATGGGAGACCACCTAGGAAGACCAGGTGCTACAGGCATAAAACATAAATAAGTGAATAAGGGATTGTGAGCTGACAAGGTCCTTGCAATTGGTGAGGTCAACCAAGGGTTTCCTTGCCTAAGGAAAACAAAAAACAAAAAAAACTAGAGCTGATTTAAATCTTCTCTCCAACAATTTTTAAAAAGTACTGAGGAATCAGGTCTTCACGATTCTTCCAAAGAAGGCTTCCAAATGTAAAAGCAAACCCTCTAAATTGGTTACATGTTTGCTAGTACTGTTAGGCCCAGATGTGCCCCATCAGGGAGACACCCGCATCTATATTTTGCATAAAAAGATTCATTATAAAGTATTGCTAAGACTGCTCCTTTTCGATGAAGAGATAGAGAACAGGATTTAATCACTGCCTGAGCTTGAAGCTATAGAGTTGCTTCTGAAGATCTGAGGATTTGATTGTTGCTTTGGCCTAGGAAAGTATTCAGTGATTGGTTCAATATTGTAAGGATTAACAGATACCAAAGAAAATAGGCTAACTGCTATTTGATTCAGCCTTTGTTAAGAACTTTTTGAGCATAAATTGAAAGGTTGATATGTTAATTTTTTATTCTGTCTCTATTCCTACGTATGATTTTATCTAACAATCACATAATTAAATGATTTATCTACTACATGCGTATAAATTTTAACTTTAGGCATTTGTTTATCTTTTAAGTTCCAGATGTTGTACAGAACATACAATGTATGGCAACTAGCTGGCAGTCAGCTTTAGTGAGGTGGGATCCACCCAAAAAGGCAAATGGAATAATTACACATTATATGATAACAGTTGAAAGGAATTCTACAAAAGTCTCTCCCCAAGATCACATGCATACTTTCATGAAACTTCTTGCCAATACCTCATATGTCTTTAAAATAAGAGCTTCAACCTCAGCTGGTGAAGGTGATGAAAGAACATGCAACATCAGCACGCTACCTGAAACAGGTAACCAATATGAAACAGGTAATTTATCTGAAAGAGATAACTAACTTGAAACAGGTAACTGTTCTAGATTGTGTCATATATTTGTCAATACCATTTGTAAACGTTATAGCAAATTTATACAAAGATATTAAAGAAATGTTAAAAATTACAACACATACTATTTTTTTTATCCCATGTGTTACCAGAGTATTAAGCTGTGTAGTATGTTGATCTTTCTCTACATTACTGGGAGACAGAAAGGAGGAAAGAAAAGAGAGAAAATCTGCTTTATTATGTTTCCGCGAATATTTATTTTTTATTAATCCAAAATCCAAACTTACTGAATTATGCTTTTTATCATAATTTAAAATAAAGAACAAACATGTAAACTTTTGAATATCTCTTTTTTTCTTAATCGATTTTATGGAATTCTAGATGCTTCCCTGAATTCTAGAGCTGCAGTGCCAGACTCTCTTGAATCTACTTCTACTCTCTATACCAGACTTCGTTTTTTATTTTATTTGAACAAAAATATCCAGGTCACTAAGACCTAGTCTACAAAGAAAACTCTCACTCTCTCTAACAGTGATTTGTCCTATGTCATAATCTTCTTCATCTTCTGCCTTCTCTAGTATCATACTTTCTCATATAAAGTATGAGATTCTTTCCTGAGAATATAAAGTATGAGATTCTTTCCTGAGAATACCACTTCCTGGTGGTTTTCCCCAATGGGGACTGTGCGTATTGGCATAATTGTTTACCTCTGGCACATCTAGCACCTCTATCTTGGAAACATCTTTGAACTCCTTTCTCCTTTTGAAATCAACATCACCCAATTGTACTCCATTTTTCTACCCTTGAGACTGTAAACCACAGAACTTCGAGACACAATACCTTCACTCTGCTTTCAGCATCCCGATCAGCATTCTTTGCTTCTCTTCCTTCCAATGCAACATTTCTTCAGATTTCAGTGTTCTCCCTATTTGGCTGTAATGGACGCATTTCAACATTTTTCTTTGATCCTTAGATCTCGAACCATGTAATTGTGACTCATCTGCCAGGAGATTTTCAACTCTGAGAGTATCCTACTGTTTGTCTTCACCAGATACTGGCTGATGAACAGTGCTAGAAACAAATAGAAATGGTTTTACCTTTTTCAGCTATAAATTCACCTACTCTAACTCTCCCAGGTGCTCCATAGTCTTCTATACTTCCTTTGATTACACTCTATCAATTTTCCATAAAAAAAATTCAGCTCTCATTCTGAACATAGTTTACTCCCATTATCATCCATATTTGATGTTATCATTGATTTTACTAATAATATCAAAGATATTGATTTGCTCTCCTTGAAATTTTACCCATATCTTTATTTACGCTCTCCAGATATCTTTTCTCAGCAATATCATTGCCTTTCTCCTCTCAGGAATATAGATGCTCATTTTGTTTCAATCTCATGTCTCCTCTAGAACATTATATCATCAATTCAGTCTACCTTTTCCTGTATTTTGTCTTTTTTCTCTCTCTCTCATGCACACATACATGACTGCCATGCATGCATGCACACATACACATTGTTAGAGAATTTCAACTGAGGATCAGGTTGGTATATTAACCCCAAACATATTCGAAATAGAATCTATGTTACAAGAATTCTCCTTCTCTTTCTCACTTTTCTATGCCTGTTCTTTATAATAAATTGGACACCAAATCTTTTTATCTCCCATCTCTGCTACTCATAATTAGCTCTTATCACTTCAGTCGCTACCATGGCTCTGCAATTTGCCCCTTCTTCATCTTGACTGCCCCAGTTTCATAGCAGACTCTTGTTGCTTCCTGTAATAATACCCTCAAGTAGCCTTATCACCCATACTCATCCAGCCTGCCCACCAGTCTCATCTCTCCATCCACTTACTTTGATTGAAGTAATCTTATACACAATTTAGAGAATTCGTATGTTGGCAGTTGAACTTTATTACCTGAACAGTAAGAATTATATATGTAGATTTGGGTATCTGAAACACAGAGGTGATAATGAAAGTGTGTAGAAGCTCAGAACACTCCAAATGTTTTACTTGTTTTCATTGTCTACAAAATACATCCCGGAATTCATCACCAATTAGAATCTGGCTTCTGTCTAGCTTTTCATTCATATGTCCCTCCACTACATCTCTTCATACAGCTGATGCCTGTAGCCACACTTCATTTATTCAGCAGATTTGATTTTATGTATTTAATTCAAAAATAATTATTAAGCACCTGTTATGGGCTAATAATTGATTAGATTATCTTCCTTAAACATACCCAACATTTTTTTTTACCATCAGATTGCTTTACTTCCTGCAGCTGTATTGTCTTTCTCTCTTTCTATGTCACCAAAAAAGTTGTTTATTCTTAAAAGCCCATCTTAAATGTGTGTTTAAAGCTACAGATTCCTAGACTTTATCCCGGACTTGCTGAATCAAGGCCTCAAGAAGTAAAGCCTAAGATCCTGTACTTTAAAACATCTGTCCAGGTGATCTGGTGCTCTGTACCTTTTAGGAAGTACTGGAGTAGATTACCTAGGAACTTTGATAGCAGGTGATGTGTAGCAGTGAGGACAGGCAAACAGTGTCAGATAGGTCCAGAAACAGGTGACAAGTGTTTCCTTATGGGTGGGCAGCAGCAGATCGTTGGTAGGCAGAGTTAGGGAGAAGGAATTATGTTCAAATCCAGGCAGGAGTTCTATATCAGGGTGGTCTAGCACCAGGTAAAATAGTCTTGATCTTTGGACGGGAGGTGAGTCTTAAGAACTGGGGAAAAAAGATAGCACAATAATTCTAAGATAAACGAGAGGATCGGGACTCTGAAAACAAGGAAAATGACTAGTTATTACTGAGTCCACTGGTACTCAAGGTGACTGCTTAGTCACAGGAATGAAGCAGAAGTTCAGTTAGTAGAACCGAGACACATAAAGTGCAATATATGCACTTGATGTAGAGCCACCTAATTAAGTTTCTGGTCTTTGTAAAAGTTCCTTGAATTAAGAATTCGAATTTGAATTCGGATCCTAATTCAAGAGTAAAAGACCACATGATGGAGTTTGAAGGGATGCTAAATCAATAAATTAGGCAGTTATTAGACATGTCGTATGGTGTACTATGTATTCCCTTACTACTAAAGACAAATGTTTCTCAAAGTTTGGACTTCTGACTCCCTACATCAGAATGGACACCCCTGAGGTCCTACTCCAGGCTGATGAAATCAGAATTTGAAAATTAAGATTCACAGATCTTCATTTAAACAAAACATATGGATAATATAGTGCTGAAAATTGAGAACCACTCTATTCCATTGTAAATTCTTTGCTTGTGGGGATTACATCTTATTTGACTTCATTTTACTCACTGTTCCTAGCAGAGAGCTTGGACATTATAGCCACTCAAATGTTTGTAGAAGAAAGAAATGAATTGTTTCCCTATGAAATTCATAATTTTTATAAGGTTTTCTTTTTACTTCATTAGAATATTTTATTTTCACATTTCCATCAGGCAAAATTATAGATATTTTCTCTCAGACAAATATAAAAGTTTTTTTTTAATTGAGGAAAGTCGTTCATATGAAACATGAGCATTAATTGCAGCTTCCAAAATATTTAAATAGTTTTTTCATCTTTAAAATTAAGTTTCAGGTCTAGTATGCAATTATATTTATGATTACAATATTTATTAGGTAAATAAATTGCTTTCATTCGAGTTCACATGAATTGTTTGTTGATGAGATATAAGATGAGATATGTAAGTAAGAACTGGAGATTCATTGTTCAGAATGGAAACAGTTTTATAGCTGTTACAAACTTGTAATTTATAGTAGTCTAAGATTAGTCACAGTGTATAGGCAGCTCTGAGTCACTGACTCTGTGCTTATTTTTGACATAAAGTAAAATTAAATTTGGCTCACTCTCTCACTGACTAGTGTCTGACCTTAACATTCCTTACAGGGCTTATTGGGTGTTTTTCTCTGTAAACTTGGTCATATCTGAGCACAGTTAAACATGCATCATGATGATTGAGTTTATGAGGAGATTAGTGTTTGGTGTCTAAGCTGGTTCCCTTGTCACAGTCAAATATGTTGGAAAAGGGAAAATATAGATGAAGGCCCCCGAACTTGGTACTTTTAATAGCATTTTATGTCAAAATAGATCACATGTACCAATAAAAACATTTTATAACAAGTTCACGTGCCTGTAAGACAACTTTTAGAATTTTAAATTAGTTCAGAGTGCATGCACTTATCCATATTATTTTCAACTCTTAGTAAATGTGGTGATTTAATATTGAGTTTTAAAAACTTGTTCTTTTTTTCTGGAAGATAACTTTACAGTTCGGATTTATTCAAAGCTTTTCCAAGTTCAAAAATTTAAAATCAAAAGAGAAGAGTAATCTAGGTCCTTCGGATGCCCAAAACTTAATTGAGGGAAAGTGAAATATGCAGCTATAGTTTCTAGGAGTGTTCTTTTCTGCATTAATTTCTTTATTAGCTTTTTGTGAAGGGGAGATATCAGATACCTATAGAGACCCACTGGAAATCCACTGAACTTGCAATTATATTAATGATACAGTGTGATTGAGTGAGAATATGTTCAATTTTCCTGTTTCTTTTTTTCTTCTTCTACTTTTGGTTCTTTTAATATCTCTACTATTTAATAGCTTACCTGTAAATTCTCTATCCTCTTCTACAAAGCCTTGACCACCATTCTAAGAACTACTTAAGACATGTATTTGTTGTGCACTTTATTTGGATCCCTATTTTGTGGACCTCTTTGAGCAGTGCAGAGATTATAGGGAAAACTGCCATTATGACTAAATCTGATCACCATTTACCAGGTTTTCTAAAAATAATGTATTTATGTAATTTATAAGAATTCAGACGATTTTTAAGTACCATTTAACAGATTGAGTGGAGGTGGTAAAAGTGTTTCTTGGGGTTGCAAATTAATTCACTAACTTAAGAGTTCACTTTGTCCTTTGACTGCTTCCCAC